CAGTTCGCCCTTTCTTACCATCAGGCGGACTATCCATTTTTAGATCAGCAGTTGTTAGGTTCCTTGTTACCTATTTGGGGGACGGCTCCCAAATAAAATGTCAGTCTTACCCATGCCCAATATTCTCATATGCATCTTACTATTACCAACCTCTTACAGTATCTTTCTTCCATACACCTCCTATCTGAGGCTCTCCACAGAAATCCTGAAGGGTTTTTGGCAGATACCCTTGCACTTTTCTCTTCCACTTTAGCCTGCATTTCATCTTTGGCTCTGGTGTTACATATGTGGTTTCTTTGTTGCTGGAACCTTATAGGTCATGATGCCATTTTAGCTCGGGCCTGTTTACCCTTAACATATCTCAGGGATTTATGTATGGCCCCATTTCTAAGACATTACATCTTTTATATGGTCCTGGAAACTATTGAGCCTTGGGTGACATCAGTCCACCAACAATCCAACTTAACAAATATTGTAGTCTGTTTGTCTCCTCATACACTTCCAATTCCCATTTCCCATCCTTTCTGTCCCAACCCTTACCTGTTTCTTCTACTCGGGGCACTTCTTCTCGTCACCTTTCTCAATGATGCATCCCCCATCGCCAACAGTACCATTGACTACCCAGTGGGTTTGGATCCGTTGGAGGTTGGCTGTTCAAGTTTATTCATTGCTGGTGTCCCTTCATTGACAATCAATGAGTGCTTCAGGTTCTGTCAGAAGGATTTGTTGTCCAGTTTCTTTCCCCACCTCCAGTTTCTCCTTTCTCTGTTTCCTTCCATCCTCCTCGAGATCCTGTGACCAGCCAGTGTCTGTCAGAAGCTGTTCAGGAACTGCTCTTGCAGTAGGCAATTAAACCTTTTCCCCATCCTTCCAGGGGTTTTTATTCTCACCTTTTTGTTGACCCAAGGAAGCAATTGATTGGCGGCTGGTAATCGATTTATCTCACCTCTGCCACTTCACATCACTACCCAAGTTCACCATGAAGTCTTTTCTCACCCTGAGATGGTTTTTTTTTTCAGGGTTGTGGATGACAAATATGGATATCTCGAACCGCAGGCCCAGAGCATGGAAATGATGTGCAAAAGCCAGGATTACTCGATAAAATACGTAAGTTGCTGAGGCAAGTCCAAAGGAGAGGACCTGAAATTGGTAAACCACCCCAAGATGGGTGTGATATTGCAATATGTACGTTAACAATTTCATTATTACATGGATGACTGGCTTCTTCTGGCTCATTCCGAATAGGAATCAGCTAATCATACTCAGCAGCTACTTCTGTGGCAGCTCGAGTGGACTGGTTGATCAAATTGAAGAAGTCTTTCCTTAGACCACTCAATATCTTCTCCATTTGGGGGTCTTTTTCAACATGAATATCAGTCTAGCACTGCCTTCTCCTATATGACTTTGTTCAGTGGCACTTTTGGTTCACCACACCCTCTCAGGTCAGTCACTTACTGCTAGCAAGGTTCTATCACTTTTGGGGATGTGGTCTTCCATGACAGCACTGATCTATCTCAGTCATACCCATATGAGATCCCTTCAGTGGGCACTTCAGGAACAATGGAACCTTGCTCAGGATCCTCTTTCCACACCAATTTCCCTTCCTCATTCCCTGCAAGACGATCTGCATTGGTGGCTGGACAAAGCCCATACATTGGCGGGTGTGCCACTTCCTCATCCGTATACAGATCTGCATCTTCTCAGGGTTGGGGGGGTCAATCACCAGGAAGCTTCTGGCCATTGGTCTGCAGACAAAATTGCTTTGCATATCAATTTTTTCGAACTTCTAGTCGTACATCGGGCATTGCATCACTCCCTTCTTCTTGCCCTACATTGTCTGATGATGGTTCATTCAGCCAGTTCTATGGTGGTGTCACATATCAACCACCAAGGGGGTACCCAGTCCAGATATCTATGTTTTCAGACATTGGATCTATTATATTGGGGCCCACACACATCACCTTTGCCTTATTGCATGTCATGTGCCAGGTGTTTTCAATCTGGTCATGGATTGTTTTTTGTGCCCCAACCAGATATATCCCACAGAGTGGGCATTAGATCCCCTCGTATTCAGGGATCTTTCCCATTGGTGTGGTTCTCCTCGTGTGAATGTCTTTGCTACGGGCCTCAACACCAAGTTACCTCTCTTTTGGTCACCTGTACCTCATCCACAGGCTCTGGCAGTCAATACCTTAAGCCAGGATCGTCACACAAGTATCTTTATGTGTACCCACCTATCCGATTACTTCATAGGGTGATTTTTCTTGTCCACTCCACTACTTGTCAAGTCCTACTAAATGCTCAGCCTTGGTTTTCAAGGTTACAACAACTGCTCCTATTCCCCTCTGTCCCTTTTCCACTTTCTCCCTCTCTTCTTCATCAACTTCATTCACCTATTCTACATCCCAACCTTCACATTCTGCATCTTCATTGCTGGCTTTTGTCCAGTCCTTGCCAAGATGATCTGGTTTCACACATTGAGTCGTTACCTTGTGAGCTAGTTCCATCCATTCATTTCTCATGGAGGTGTACCAATGGAAGTGGAAGGTATTCTGCAGTTGGTTTACTACCAGGGGTTTCCTGCTGACAAGCCTACTGTGGCTTGTGGGGTGGAATTTCTCACCTGACTCTTTGACCACGGGTCTTCGGTCTTTTCTATTTCCAGATATCAGATGGCCTTATCACATACCTTTTGTTCTTCCCAGTGCCATAGGGTTTTTACTTCCCCTGTTCTTACCATGCTCAGGCATTCCTTCCAGATACATCACTCTCCCAGGCATCCTGCCCTTCCGAATTGGAACATTAATGTGATCCTAAATTCCCTTACTTTACCTCCATTTGAACCACTTTCCTTGTGTTTCATGTTTCCCTTAAAACATATTTCCTTCTTATCTTAGCCTGTGGATGTTAAAGGTCGGATTTGTTTGCCAGTGATATTTCAAGTACCCTTTATTGCCCTACCTATCTTCTCCTTTGTCCAAATTGTTCCTTTCTCCCAAAGACCTCAGCAGCTCAGGAGGGTTGTTCCTCCTCTTCTCCTATTTCTCTTCCTTCTGTTTCTCATCTTTACCCTCAACCAGATCCGGATAGGCTTCTGTGTCTGGTCAGGGCTCTTCATTGTTTTATAGCCCTACTGCTACCTTCTGGGGTACACGTTCTCGACTCTTTATCCCCTGGCAATCCTCCTCCCTTCATAATCTTTCACTTTCTACCCTTACCAATTGAGTCCATCTTTTGGTTCAATTGGCCTATTTTTCCCTACCTTCTTCCTCTCGGACCTTGTTCTCCCATCATATCTCACATTTCACATTTTCCCTTGCTTCTTGTCTTCATCATCCAGTGGAGGAGATTCTGCAATCTGGCATGTGGACCACTCCCAGTACGTTCATCTCCCACTATCTTCATCACTATTGTGGTTTCCTCTTCATCAGGGTTTCGTCTTCCACCTGTGGCTATTCTTCAGACTTTGGTGCATCTCTAACTGATTAATTTTTATTCATACTTTCCTTTTTTCAGGGGCCTTTATCTACTTTCTATCACATGGATCCTGCTCTGTGGTTAGTGGTGCCTGACCCAGTATTCTTTCACTCTAAATCTGCACTGTACAGCCATGTTGACTCATGCTTTATTTTCCATGGCTTCACACGCTCACCGTGGAGATGTGGTGTTCCACAAGATCACATGATGAAAATAACATCACAATATTTTGCTTCATAAGCATGTCCATCTTGCACTGTACCACTCATGGATTACGTTGGTAAAGCAGAAGAGGATTTCTGCCCATCCCTGCCATTCCTAGAGTAAAAACTCGGTATGGTCTGCTTTTCAAAATAAGGTTTTGTGGCCACCCATTACACTGTCTCTAGTGATTAAGTTCCTCTGGATTCTCCACCATATTGTCACTCTTCTTTCTTTGAGTGGAATATGGGAGTCCTTGCCACTGTTCAGTTCCAAGCCGCTTGGTTGATTGACCATGGAGACACTCTGCTGAATGAGTTCCACAGAATAACCATTCAGTCACAGAGTAGGGAGGTGGTGTTCTGTGGGTGTAGATAATGTAATATCCTCCTATTTGTGGTAAAAACCACCACAGAGTGAGATGTCAGAATGCAGTTCATCCCTTCGATTGGGTGGATGTCAGTACCCTGTGAAGAGGTTTTACATTAGAGTAAACCAATCAACATAAGTCCTCACATGGGTTTGATTTTGTCAATCTTCCTCCCTTGATTTCCTCCATCTGTTTTGTGGGTCATGGTGGTGGTACATGGGATTGTTATGGTTCTGCCCTTGACTATCCCTAGTTCTTTTTTATGGAGGTGTTATTGCCATTGGAGGATCATGGCCTGTACTGCAGTTGGGGGAGTTGATTCCATGTGATATAGACATACTTTCGTTACTAGATGTCAATTTCTCCAATCGATAGCTCTGAGCTAATCCTTGTCATACCCAAGAATCAGTGTGGGTCTTAACCCTCTCGCCCTGGGTACCCTTTACTGCACACGACACGATGTTTTAGTGTATTACATTCAAAATTTTATTAAACTACTTTTTGTTTATGTTATACCAATTAGAATAGCATAAAATCTTAGATAATAATCCATATTTTAATAGTATATAAGTTTTAAGTTCTTAATTCTAAAAGGCAATATTTAAAAAATCTTGAATTTCTACTAGTGTGACCCATGTGACACATTTTATCTTAGCATGTCATCATCTCTATTTTATCCATCACCTCTTGAAAATATACGAAATTAAATGTAAAATACTCTCTATGAAATCGTTATTGCTCAAACAAACCATACTTTTTATAGCCTTCAACTTTGTTTGGTTACAGAGCTTTCTAATAGAAAATCAGACCCCTCCTGCCACACCCACCTATCACATCCTCTCATTCACAATTCTTTGATAGTTCTCTCTTATGTTTCATTATATATATTACCTATAACCAATAGAAAGTCCACATTTTCATCTATAAAATGACATATTGTATAACGTTGTATTCTGAATAGAATATCATAAATTTCACTCACAGTACAAGACTTGTTCTTGTGGGAAAGACTAGCTTGGATGAATTTATAACGGCTCTTGTTGCATAGTTAGAAAGCTAGGAAAAGTTTGAGAGATAA